TTCTAAGGAGCATTCTGGCCGTACCTGTTCCAAAACAGAATTGTTTGTTTCTCTTGCAGTCCAGGGCACTTTCAAAGTTTTTTGGTAGCACCACAATTCAAATGCATCAATTCTTCAATAGTCTTACTTATATAATGTCCAACTAGCACATGCATATGAGCTGATTGAAAATACCATGGCTTGGGGCAGGAGCACGTTCTTTAGTCCTCAACGTGAATCCTTGCTCTTCAATACTTTAAAGAAGTCTTGTGCAGCAGATTTGCCCAATGCAATGCATTATTTGATCTCTTGACTGCTGCTTCCATGACCACAGGAGCCCTGGTAATGTAGAAGTAACATGTTAGGGTGCTAACCACAAGGTCAGCAGTTTGAAACCATGAACCGCTCTGCAGGGGAAATATAGGCTTTCTACTCCCATAAAGAGTTACAAGTCAGAATCGACCTGATGGAAGTGAGAGTGAAGGAGTGCTTCCATGAGCATTGATTGTGGATGCAAGCAAAGATGAAATCCTTGACAACTTCATTCTTTTTATAATTACTATGATGCTGCCTGGTGGTCTAGTTGTGAGGATTTGGGTTTTCTTTACATTGAGTTGCAAGCCATACTAAAGCCTGCAGTCTCTGATCTTCATCAGCACGTGCTACAAGTCTTCCTCGATTTCAGCAAGCAAGGTTGTGTCATCCGCATATCACAAGTTGTTAATAAACGTTCCCCCAATACGGATGCCGCATTCTTTTTCATGTAGCCCTGTTTCTCTGATGATTTGCTCAGCATACCAATCGAATAAGTGTGCTGAGAGAATACAACCCTGACACACAGCTTTCTTGATTTTAAACCACGCAGCATTCTCTGGTTCTGTTTACGTAACTGCCTCTTGATCAATGGACAAGTTCCGCATGAGCACAATGAAGTGTGCTGGAATTTCCTTTCTTTTCCAGGCTATCCATGTTTGGCTTGATCCACACAATCAAATGCCTTTGCATGTCAACTAAACACAAGCAAACATCTTTATGGTATTCTCTGCTTTGAGCCAAGATCCACCTGATGTCATCAATCATGTCCCTTGTGCCACATCCTCCTCTTCTTTTCTAAAAATCCTTTTTTTGAGGGCCTCTTACAGTTCTTATAATATTCCGTACATCAATTGAATCAAGCATATTTGTACATATCTTTCCATCATCATTTTCTAAGCATTTACTTTCTATTTGAGGCCTAGGTATCAGCTCCCCTTCCTACCCCGAGCCCTTGATAAATTATAAATTATTATTGTTTCCATATCTTACACCAGCTGTTGTCTCCCTTCCCTCACATTTCTGCTGTTCATCCCTGGGAGGGGGGTGGTAATGTGTGGGACATTGTGATCCATTCCCCCTTCCTCCCCTCCTTCTCCTCGTCCCCCCACCTCCAACCTTCCCCCTTCCCTCCTGGTTTCACTACTCCCATTTTAGTTCCTGAGGGGTTTATCT